CCACGCCTAGAAAAAAGCCTTTGGTGCACCTAAGAAAAATATTCTTTAAAAAACATCACCTTAATTGTCTCTGAAAAAATATATTTAAAAAATCTACGCCTATAGATAACCCTTGAAAAAATTAATATAAAAATATTTTCTGTGCTCTGATTTTTCAACCGCCTCTTTTAGTCTACAGATCTTTTATAAATACTGGTATTCATATAAGCCACTGCCAACTTCTATGCGTAAAATTGCATTACGCTTATTTAACACTCCAGATATGATGGTCTGCATGCCTGTTGATTGACTACTGGGCCGCACTCAGTAACCCAGTAACCCATCGACAAAAGACCATATTGAGAGGCGTAATTCAATTCAGCTGCAAAAATCGCTTGCAATATCCACATTAAAAGCTACTGGCATCATTTTTGCTGTGAGATTTTTCAAAACCTTTTATTCCAAATCCGACCGCATCGGATAAGAAATATGTATGCGAGCGAGCGATCCATTCGTTCGTATATATGAATGGCTATGAATGATATAAATTGAAATTGAATGTTTTGGCTGATGAGAATGTGTGACACAGTTTGTCGATCAGAGTAGTACATACAGACATATGTGCTTGTTTTATGTAATGCTGTTGTTTGGTTTTGTGGCAACGGTAATGACTTTTGAAAGTTGTTTTTTTTTTTTTTTTTGTGTGTTCATATGTCGATTGTAGGCTTTTTAATCACTGCGCAATGACGACTCTATGTCACTGTGTCACCTTTCATATGCTAATGTAATTTTTATCGAAATATAAAACATGTTTGAATCTCGCTGGCATTCATGTGATTGGTCAAAAATAATGGCAGTGTCATTTTTGTGGGTTTTGTGCAAACACATTATGAGATAATGAGAAATTCCCACGCAAAGGGATTTTTTAAATCAATTTGTCAATAACAAAAGACATAAATTGCCGTTTTGAAAGATATATTGTGATTGTAATATTTCCTATTATGACCATTGGCGGAAGCTTTGAACAATAGGAGGCATAGCCATGATTGTATTTTAATAGTTGTAAGATTTCCCATCAAGGACGTATGATATACAGAACAAGTTTTGATTTTCTCCGTGGGAAATTGAGCAAAACACATATAAAAAAATAAAAGAAGAATACATTGTTTAGAATATAATCTATAAGTTTTATAGATGGTTATTAATATAATAATTAAAACCAGCAAGGAAAGTAGTAAAGTCGGACGGGGCCGACTATATGATACCCTGCACCACTTTGGGTATATTCAACAGATGAATCCTAACAGACGTCGCATTTTTAAAGGACCAGTAAAATTAAATTGGATCCATATACATGTCATTCTGCAATTGACACTAAATTTTTCATTTGGTCAGATATAAAAGCTATATCTAAATCTGACCCGATTTCAGGAAACTTAACACACATAATTCTAGACCTAATTCATTACGCTGTGCCAAATTTCGTGCAAATCGAAAGACATATAGGGACTTTGGTGCACCATTTATATTAAATCAGACGAAAATATATATGGGAGCTATATCTAAATCTGAAACGATTTTGAGGAAATTTGACACACATCATTCTAGACATAATTCATTACGCTGTGCCAAATTTCGTACAAATCGAAAGATATATAGGGACTTTGGTGCACCATTTACATTAAATCGGACGAATATATATATTTGGGAGCTATATGTAAATCTGAACCGATTTTCAGGAAACTCAACACACATCATTCTAGACCTAATTCATTACGCTGTGCCAAATTTCGTGCAAATCGAAAGATATATAGGGACTTTGGTGCACCATTTACATTAAATTGGACGAAAACATATATGGGAGCTATATCTAAATCTAAGTCGATTTTTCCAAATTTCAATAGGGTTCATCCTTGGCCAAATAAGTAACCTGTGCCAAATTTCATCCAAATCGGATCATAAGTACAGGCCAAAGTACAGGTCGCATTACTTTATTCACAAAAATACATGGATCGGACGAAAATATATATGGGAGCTATATCTAAATCTGAACCGATTTTCAGGAAACTTAACACACATGATTCTAGACCTAATTCATTACGCTGCCAAATTTCGTGCAAATCAAAAGATATTAAGCGACTTTGGTGCGCTGCCAAATTTCGTGCAAATCAAAAGATATTAAGTGACTTTGGTGCACCATTTACATTAAATCGGACGAAAACATATATGGGAGCTATATCTAAATCTGAACCGATTTTTCCCACTTTCAATAGGGTTCGTCCTTGGGCCAAATAAGTGACCTGTGCCAAATTTCATCCAAATCGGATCATAAATGCGACCTGTACTTTGTTCACAAAAATACATGGACGGACATGCGTAAATACACTGCGTATCATAACTATAGACGCACCCTTAATTCAATTGGTATGTTAGTTGAGAAATAAAATGGACCCATTAAGTTATTATTCACAATAAAACGATCAAAAACACATATCATTGAACAAAAATAATTAATTTATTCTTTATGGTTTCGCCGAATTCTGCACTTTCAAAATTGCTGGTGTTGCATAACTATAGACGCACTTTTACAAAATTAGAAAAATTTATTTTTTAAAACTTAAATAAAATAAAATTACTTTTATAAATAATGGGTAGGACCTCCCTTATTTTGAATAAGTTCAAAAATTTTATCCATCACACTGTTGATCAAAATTATTCGCAAGTCTTCATCGATTGACCGCCATTCATCGAAAACCACTTCTTGGAGGTAAAATACAGTTTGGTATTGGAGGTTTTCGGCATAGACACGATGAGTCAAGATTCCACACATGTTCTCGATCGGATTCTGGTCGGAAATTTTAATATTTTTCGATTTTAACCATACTTGAGTATGGCGACTTTTATGAACTGGTGCGTTGTCCTGCTAAAAAACGAGTCCTTGATTGTTGCTGCTTTCCCAAAATGTCAATAATTTGTCTTCCAAGACTTGAACGTACTCCATTGAATTCATTCGACAACATGGAAATGTCAAATAAAGGCTATAAAATGCTCCCAAGGCCATTAAGGAACCGCCACCGAAATATTGTATTAAGAAATAACGATATTTCGGTAACCGCCACCTTGGGAGCATTTTATAGCCACGGAATGCTTTATTTGACATTTCCATGTTGTCGGATGAATTCAATGGAGTACGTTCAAGTCTTGGAAGGCAAATTATTGCAATTTTGGGAAAGTAGCAACAATCAAGGACTCGTTTTTTAGCAGGACAACGCACCAGTTCATAAAAGTCGCCATACTCAAGTATGGTTAAAATCGAAAAATATTAAAATTTCCGACCAGAATCCGATCGAGAACATGTGTGGAATCTTGACTCATCGTGTCTATGCCGAAAACCTCCAATACCCAACTGTATTTTACCTCCAAGAAGTGATTTTCGATGAATGGCGGTCAATCGATGAAGACTTGAGAATAATTTTGATCAACAGTGTGATGGATAAAATTTTTGAACTTATTCAAAATAAGGGAGGTCCTACCCATTATTTATAAAAGTAATTTTATTTTATTTAAGTTTTAAAAAATAAATTTTTCTAATTTTGTAAAAGTGCGTCTATAGTTATGCAACACCAGCAATTTTGAAAGTGCAGAATTCGGCGAAACCATAAAGAATAAATTAATTATTTTTGTTGAATAATATGTGTTTTTGGTCGTTTTATTGTGAACAATAACTTAATGGGTCCATTTTATTTCTCAACTAACATACCAATTGAATTAAGGGTACGTCTATAGTTATGATACGCAGTGTAGACTCAGAAATTGATTCTATGCATATTCTCAAAAGGAACCATGTGCCTATCTCGTTTCCTTTTGCCTGTTACAAACATATGCACAAGGACATAAGACCCTGTTCCACAGTGTGGTGAAGGGTATTAAAATCGACGATGTCCTATGAAATTTTATTTACCTTGGATGAATCGAAAAACTATAAAAATTCCAGACCATGCCTTTATATGACCCTTTAAAAAATATTCTCTATCCACGCTTATATTGCCTTAAAAAATTCCCTATCTAATCCACGACTTTATATTGCCCTTTAAAAAATATTCTCTGAAACTCCACTATTATAAATGATCTTTTATAAAATATTCTCTAAACTAAAAAAAATAAAAATATATAGTAAATGTCTTTAATGGTCGTTGAAAAAATATTCTTTAAAAATCCACGCACGCACCTGCATCGATATAGGGTACCACAAGATCGTGTACACCGCCTCTTCTATTCTATTTCTTCCATTGATATTCTTAGGCCACCAAAAAGGTCAAACAATGTGGTATTTTCAATTGATTATTATTTGTTTTTGGTATTCAATCCGATCTGAAAAATCTTGCTGTCAATAGAAATGAGTCAAACTGAAAACCAAAGAGCACAACGAATCTGAAGAGAAAGAGTAGATGAACATGAGTTTTATTGGAGTTGCCAACTTGTTTTCAAGTTGAAAAAAATGTGCTCGACTCTCTTGCTCTCTTTTACTCCAGGCTTAAAAATGTTGACATGAAGAAGAAAGAGGACAAGGGAAGAATAGAAGAAGACAAAGAAAATATGACAAAATAGCAAATAATAATAAAAGCAAACACACCACAAAAAAAGACTACCACCTTCAAGTGAATAAAAATAAATAAAAAAATAAAATAAAACAATAGTAAGTATTTTTGTTCTTTTGTTAAAAATATATTTTTTTATTTTCTTAAAATATATATAGAATCGATTTTAACAATATAGAGTCATTGTTTATTACTAAAGTCTGGAACTTATAAACAATATATGTTAAAAAGTAAAGCTATTCGAGAAATATGAACCCTACAAATAGAATTGTCGTTGTTTAAGAAAGAAATGCTTGTAAGTAGGAAGTTTTTTGGAGTTTGTTACCCTTTTGTCCCAAAATCCAGAAAACAGAAACTGTTCTCCAAAACAGCATTAATGGAATTACATTGTGATGTAAGCAGCGAGGCTACCGCCTAAAATATTTCTAGAAGAGATTTTTCAGCCACAATCCAAGCACCGCTACCACTACACTCAACACTGAGAGCAGAGGTTGTTGATACACACCAGCGGCAGTGTTACACCCATCTGTACTGCAGGTATAAATACACGATCTGTATTCCATGCGATCACCTTTGTTGCGTACATAGTCACAATAGTTGCCCAAATCTTTGGAAGAACAAAAACGTTTCGCCCCAATACCTCCCTCGAAACGGCCAACATGTTTTATACAGAATTTGGCACCATGGACATTGGAACAATTTTGTGGCTGGATATCGGGTTCATCGAAACGTTCAAAAAACTCGCCACACTGGAAGGGATTATTGGTATCCGAACCGTCACACACATAACAATCGATGGCCAAAACCGAACTTAACACGGCACACACAATTGCACTTTGTAATAAAAGTTTCCACATATTCCCGCGTTTCTTCTTTTCGAAATTTCCTGGATTCTTTCTTTCCTTGCTTTTTTAGTCAAGGTAGGGTTACAAAAACAAAAATCACTTTACTGGGTGTTGTTTTGTTGTTATTACAAAACTTGCTTACTGACTGTCTGTCCCTCTGAACGTTTGACAAACCAAAGCAAAACACTCTAATGTCAATTATATACTGACGTTTCTCCATTATCTGTTCGTTTATTCGCTCCTCATTGTTGGGTGTTTTGCTTTGGTATTTCTATGGCGTCACTTATGGCCGTTTTTAGTCGTTTGGGGGTAACAACTGAGCCTCTCTTTTTCTCAACTTCTCTCGGAATTACGACTCTTGAGTTTTTCTCTTTTAAAACTCTCTTTTTAAAGCGCGTATTAATTTTTGTTTTGATTTTATTGGCCTTTTTACTTGCTGGTTCGTCTATCTACCCATCCACATAAATACCCTTAAACGTGTTCTGCCACATTTTCTTTATGGCCATTCTTTTTGTTTCCCGGGGCAACAACATTGCAACGTCATCAATTTTCTTCTATGGCCTGTTGCGTAGTTACCAATTGGCCTTTTAGTATTGGTTTGTTGTATTACGACGTTGTCGTTGTTGTTTGGTTACCTTTTTCAAACTGAACAATTAAATCCATCCAATGTTGCTGCCGCTGTTGTAAAGATACATACGAACTGTAATGGTTGTGTTAACTGCGTCATTTATGATGATGCCCTTTGGCCTGAAAGAAGAGGGATTTTTAAATGTGTTGAGGGAAGCTGTACTTTGGTAAAACCATTTATGGCGCCATACCTTTTTGTGTATTTGGTTTCTGATGCTCTGAACATATTAGAACTACATTCAAGTAGTTCTATATATTTCATGTATGCTCTAAGAATGCTTCAAAGCCAAATACTGGTAGCTTTGGGTGTTAATTAATGCATGTCTAAGGCGACACAAATAGTTTTAGTTACATTAGATGTTCGCCAACAGATGGTGTAAGCAACGAGTCTCCTTTTTTCTCTACTTTTTGAAAAAAATTAAATTTAAAACAAGTAAAAACGATGTTAAGTTGATGTCGTTAGTTTTCTTCAGAGCTCTATCTTAAACATTGCAGTCTCTATCATGATTTCAACAGACGTACAGACAGACAGACACGCATAATTCGACACGGAATTTTATTCTGATTTAGAATATATATAATTTGTGTATATTTCGTGTGTAAATGTGTTGCAATGTAATGTAATTTCTTTCATATATATTTATGTAATTTTTTTCATATATATTTATTACAAAAAAAAGTTATTATACATTTTCGTAAAGTACCACGGGTGGGGCACCTTTGAACATGCCCATTAAATTCGAGTAAAAGGCGTAGTTTTTAACTTTTGGCTTCGATTTCTCAAAATTTCAAATGGGATAATAAGACTACAAATTTAACTATATTTTTCACCATATTAATTTTTGTTTTTATGTCATTTTATGTTTTAATAAATTTTGATCTGAATTTTTTTAATTTTCGAACATTTTTGATATATTTGAATATGTTTGAATAAAATACATTTATATTTTAACATAAACACTGTAAAAAACCAAGCCGTTCAAAAATGTAAAGCCTTGTTCAAAGGTAGTTTTCAACACTTTGACTTCCTCCCTTAAAACAGCAATAAAATATTTATATCAAGCTTAAAGTATGTCATATGTATATTCATTGTAAAGGTTACATATGTACCTATTAGTTAACATTTATAAGAAACCAAAAATTATAAAATAAAAAATTTTATGAGGCTTGAAAGAAAAAAAATGTTCACAAGTGCCCCCCTCTCCCCTATTGTTGGCGATTAAAATATTGGAATATCACTAAGAGGGATGTCGGAAGAATATAATGTCCCCAGAAGTTCAATATCCTATTTAGGATAGTTGCATTAAATCTCTGAATTGAAAATTGTTCTATGTTTACGGACAAAATTCGGGTCACACAAAGGGTTAAATTGCTTCGCATTCGAATTGTATTGTAAAAAAATCTAAAGAATAATTTAAAGAGTTCGCCGATTATTTAAAAAAAATTTACTGTATCTCCCGAATGCAAGGATGTAGCGAGGTTGATACCCTATTTAGAATCGTTGCATTAACCCTTTATGGCCCAATGTTGCCCACAGGCAACAACATGTTTTAGAGCTTATATTTAATATGTAGCTTGTAGAAATGTACTCTTCACACTTCATACGTCAAGACCTGATTATGGACGACACAAATCAAAAGAAAAATCTAAAAAATGTTGCTAATATTAATTTGTGTATACAGTCCAAATTATTTAAATCGCTTCGTATTCCAAATTTACGAATTCTGCCATCAGAATTATTGTTGATTCTTGTAAAACAGAATATAGAGAATATTTTAAAATTATTTTATAGTCGAATTTTCATTTGGTTTCCTTGATATTGGGCTTTTATTTTTCAGAAAGAATGTACCGTATTTGCCGAATGCAAGGATGTAGTGATGTCAAATTTTGTCCATATCCTATCTAGGATAGTTGCATTAAATCTGTGAACAGAAAATTGTTTATGATTACGGAAAAGAATTCGGGGCTCAAAGGTTAAATTGCTTCGCATTCGAATTGTATTGTAAAAAATCTAAAGAATAATTTAAAGAGATCGTCGATACGGAATTTGCTTTTATTGATATTGGACTTTTATTTTTCATAAATATGCACTGTATCTCACGCGGGCACGCGAATAGCGGGCACAATAACTCAGTAACTAATAATCCGATAGATTCCAAATTTTGGGACGTTAGCTATCGTATGAACTAGGATAAATCCAATCGGTTAAGATCTTCATCATTTTTTAACTTGATTGATGACATGTACCCTTTCTAAAACCGTTTGAATTTTCGGATTCCGATGTTCCAATGAGGAGTTATCATGCCAGCCATAAAATAATAAGGGATTTTCTTTAATCCTATAAAACAACAAATAAACAACAACAAAAATCTGTAAATTATTTTTCTTCTTTTACTTTAAATCTTCAAATATATACCTGCAAAGTTACAAACCTTAACAAGCTTTGGTATTGATTTACCAGCCCATTGAAAATCTTGAAAATTTAAAATCGAGAATGGGGGCGTCCCCTTATCGAGAATGGGGACGTTCATCATTTTTGTATTTAAAATTTTTGGTCCATTGCGGAGTGCATAAGGCCTTTATCTGGGTTTAGTTAAACTATTATCATGTGCATTTTATTTTATTTTGACAATATACAAGAAGTGGTGGAACGATTGACGTCACCTGCAGACTCAATATAGGTGCCAAGTTTTGAAGTTAGATATTCGTTTATTTCATAACAGATACACACATTTTCCAAATTTTGATCCTTTTTGGGGGAAGTACTAAAAGAAGTGGACCGATAAGCCCCATCATAGGTTGTGCAAACTTTAATTAAAATCGTATACTAATAAGTTCGCATTTTATTAAAAAAAGTAATTTTAAGTAAAAGCTTGACCATTTTGTGAGTTGGGTACCAGCAGTAGTTACTAACTTAGCTGGCTTGTGACTGAACTTTCGTTTCATAGTCCGGGCTTAGAAAAAATTTCCAAGCGCGCCGGTCTCTTGCGCAGTTTTTCCAATTTGAAAGACCATTTTCGGCGATCTTGTCTTCGACTTGATCTTTCCATCGTATTCGTGGCCTTCCAGAAGTAGTGGAGTAGTAGTAGTTCTAAATGAAATTTCGATTAGGAACATTTTTGCCGTTTCATATATCGTTGGTATCGTTTCAACAATATCAATTTGTTATTGTTTGTACCATACTATTTCTTAAATTGTAGGAAATCCCCATATGCAATTTCATACATCATTCCCTATCTCAACTTTGAATCGTTCGTTCGATAAAAAACAATTTCACAGACTTTCGTAACATTTCTTATTTTCCATACATTTATAGTACGAATTTCTAAAAACAATATGATTCCAATACAAAATTTGAGGTCCCTACTTCTATCTTGCTCCAATTGTACAATCCTTTCGTACACTCACTTTTTTCGTACCCATATAGTACAATATCTCAAAGCAATATTTTTTCCTCATCGGTATGATAGATAGATCTATTTGTAAAGTTATTACAAATTATACTAAAATTTAGTACCATTATTAAAAGCATCCGCACCAACAATAGCCTAATACCAATTTTTGGAGTTTCGACTTTTTCAATTAATCCAATAAAAATGGTAAAGCCCATTTCTGATACATTAATTTCCTATTCGTTTACCTAATACTAATGATATCATTTTTAGTACTGTTCAGTACAATTTCCTTACCTCTCGACTACAAATTTTCACAAAAACAACCATATCACAACCTACGAACCAATCCTGACAAAATTTTCAAAAATTCAAGATTCTAGCTTTGGCCGTATCTTCCTGTCGTTGATTATTGAAAGTATTTTCGTACACTCATAGTACAATCCCTGCTTTATGACACGTATATGGGACCATATTGACCAATATTATTGCTCCAGCTACTACATCTGGGAGCTGAAATATCGTTAATTTTTAAAATCAATATTTCCCTATGTAATCCTCGCTTTTGTAACCAGCGCCACCAAGATTCACTCTTGTACAAATGGAAAAGTCTATGAAAAAACAACGTGACTCGGGACTAATATTATCAAAATAGTTTCCAAAAATATACATAGCATATTTTGCTATATCATGTATTGGACGGAGTTCTACCAATTTACTTCGTTTGGAAGAAGATATAGGTTATGTAAATATGCAATGTGCCGGTAGTTCGGATTCTCAATTAAAGTTTTAAAAACGCCTTGATTAGAGGTGTCAGAATCTTGATTAGCTCGGATAGTACAGCCAGAAAAAGTGATATCCGCTCTCATGTTACGCATTTGTTTCTACCAGAAAGATCGGTCTAATAGTCTTCATTTCTAAAATTGATTTTTGCTCCTTATCATTATCCAAGATAAATCAAAAACAAAAAATACCAAATAGTTTTACACGTAATGTATAAATACAAGAATCAAACTAA